TTTGTTGTATATGTGTCTTTCTGGCTGCTGTTACAACCAAATTTCCCCTTGTGGGACAATTAAAGGATTATTCTATTCTATTCTATTGTATTGCTGGCCTCATCACAACATAAACACTATCATGTATGTTTTCTCACACGTTAATATGCTTAGCCAGTTCCCAGACACAGGAAAAGGCCTATGAGGATGGTCTAGAAGTTTAGAGGGGAAAAACAAAAATCGAAGAATGTAGCCCCCCCTGCCCCCTTATTTCCTTTCATTCCATTTCATCTCAATGCCTTGCATTCCTCCCCCACCCTCGATCCCCCTCCAAAACATTTCCGCCTATTAAAAAAAATATTATTATGTAACGAGCCACATAGCTATGTAATTTGTCGCTGGAAAAGACATGAGAGATGAACAGAAGGAGAAGAAAGACAAGACTAGTTGATAAGAGCTGACCTGAAAAAAATATGGAAAAAGAAAATAGGAGTAGAGGGGAGGAGCTTAGCAGCTCAATTCAAAATAGAGCAGTACTTATGGCTTATTAATGATGCAAACAAACAAAGCAGTAGTATGTGTGCACAAGCAATGAGACACTGCAGTTTATACTTACGGTAATATGTGGTTAAAGGTTTTTCACAGCAGAAAAAGCATACATGTAAAGACACTTAACGTTACTGAGGCATCATTAATGGCTTCTACTTTTCCTAACACAATGTACTAAAATTTCTGATGTGAAAAAGTGCTGCAAACATTCACCCACACAACATGTGAATGTGGGCAGTCAGTCAGGCAACAACTCTGCTAATGTCTGCTTCAACTCAGGATTAGGTGGTGCAAAACAGCTGCTCAATCGGAATCTGTCGCTGCTTAATATTCGAGGGTGGTTATGAGTGTCAGGGGACACAAACCAAATGTGAAGAAGCAACAGTCTTCCAAGTGTGCAAATTCATTCAAAGATACTTTACAATCCCTTTGTAAGGATGGAATATGGTGAATTTTAACAACTGGTGGTACAATATTTAATAATATTTAATATTCACCAGATGAAATCCTTTGAACAGATTGTTTTTAGATATGACATTCAAATTCTCTTATCCATATTGAATGTCATGCACGTGTCCTCACACTGTGGGTTTTTTTTAGTAGCACGTGTTCTCAGTGTGACAGCCGAAACTATGCTCCAAGCTCAAATTACCTGTCTTTAAAGGTATATCATTACTGATTTTACTTCAACTTGATTTTACTTTGACTTGTTTCTGTACATTTCTGCGAGTCTCTCTGTTTTTTGTATTCACAGTGTCTGACAGACAGACCAGAGACAGAGGAAGAGTAGGAGAGGAGAGGCGACACGTTGGGTGGTGACTTGGCTGCAGCAGAAGGAACTGTTCCACCCTGCTGCCATTGAATGTTCACTTCCTGTTTGTATTGACTGGGCCCACAGTGCAAAATGGTGGTAGCAATGGTCATCTAGGCAGGACTGCAGTAGCCCGTCAGTGTTTTTTGTGATAGCGTCCAAAATAACCTTTCTATATATGTGCATGTTCAGACCCACCACCACTACCACAAAAAACCCCCAAAGACAATTTAGGCTTTTTTTGTTGGTGACAGCATGTGACATTGATGGTTTAGATACCCAGCTAATAGCTAGCTCATATTTTAAGCCCATTGAAATTGTTTGTTTTAGCAGAACAAGGAATCCTGTATACTTCAGTGTTTTCAATGTAAGCAAAAGATAAGTCACTCTAAAAGACTTTCAGATTTTGAGTATTCTGAAGTACTAAGGTTAATTATAGTTCCACAGGCTTCCACGCTAAGACCAATTCTATTTATATAATACATGCTCACTTTAGGCACTATTATTCAAACCCACAGCATCCATTTTTGTTGCTATGCAGATGATACCCAGCTTTATCTATCCATGGAGCTAGATGACACACACCAATCAGTTAAACCGCAGGAATTTCTTAAAGATATAAAGACCTGCTTCTAGATTCAGGGAAAACTGACGTTATTGTAACCTGATGGTGCTATTTTGGCCTCCAGGAACACTGTGAGGGATTTTGGAGTCGTTTTTTGACCCAGATATGTACTTAATCGTGTATATTAAACAAAGATGAAAAAATCTTTCTTGCATTTGCACAGTATCTCACAATTAAAAAGATCCTGTCTCTGTGTGATGCTGAAAAACTAGTTTATGCATTTATTACTTCCAGGCTTAATTATTATAATACATGATTATCTGACTGTCATAAGAAGTCTCTGAAAAGCCTTCAGTTGATCCAAAATACTGCAGCTGGAGTCCTGACAGGGACTAGAAAGAGAGTTTGGATTTCTCCCATATTAACATCACTTCACTGCCTCCCTGTTAAATCAACAATTTAATTTAAAATGTGTCACCTCAAATCACCTTGAAGAGACTGTTAATGTGATTTGGTGCTGTGTAATTAAAAGTGAACTTATGTAACAACATCCAGGTAAAGGTTTTGAGTTCAACTTGACTTACAGAGTCTGCTTGAGAAAATCTAAAATGTACCTCAAAACATCAGCAACTAAATAATCTAGTCTGAAAGGGATTCATTCCTTAATGCCTAAATATTTGTGCTTTACCCCTATTTACGTGCTCCTGATGTTGTGGTAATCCCTTTGGTCCTTTTGAATTAGCCATTGCCACATGCCAGCCAACACACTTCTAAGCATCCAAGAAAGGCAGCAGTTTAGGCTAACTATTACCTGCTTTAATAGGTAGCTAATAATTTCAAAGTATTGTTCGCAAGATGTAGTTAAAGCAAATAAATCTGAGCTGATGGAATCTTGGATAATTTTTAATAACTTAGTGAAAATTAAAGGGGGTTAATATCTGTTTTGTTGGAACTCCTATCAAACCACGACAGTAGTTCCAACAAAAGAGAGTGGTAGTAGTGGTTTGAATGACTCGGGTAATCTTTAATGGGAGACTACTTGAATATATCATACTTTTCTTCTAAAATCTAGTTGAGGAGACTATAACAGCATCTCAACTCAAAGTTCTGCTTGAATAAATGTTCTCAGTACGAGTGCCATATCACCTTAATGAACATTTCACCCAGGCTTGTAGTTTAGAACATATTCGCCAATGAAAATATGTGAGGCATTCCTGCCATCCTGTTGGGCATCCAACAAAGGAACCTAAAACCTGAAGTTTCTGTAAACATCATGGTCTCAGTTGTGGAGTGATATTTTCTCTACAGACCACTGTAGCCTTGTGGGGTATTAGTTATTTTAGTAGTTCCTGAGAAGGAACTACTAAATTTAGGTTTAAGATACAAACACACACCCAATATCACACTTTCATGACATCAACAACTGCCATGTGAATTATGTAAGGAATTAGCAGCAACCTCAAACAACCCAAAAGATAAGGTGCATCAGTTTAAATGTGCTGGGAGGCCTGCAGTTCAGAACTCAGTGCATTAGGAGGTGGACACCTTTAGGATATGTTCTAGTCAGGACCCAAGATATACACATTTTATAATCTTAAGTATTTTTTTTTGTCAAGGAATGAAAATAATAAAGGAAACTCTTATAATAACATGTTTTCAGACCTTTGAGGTCCATATTGTATGATCAAGCTCAATAGTTTTCAGCTGGAGTCCAGGTGTCTGTCTTCTGTCCTCAGCCAAAACATGGAATCTGATGTGTTACTAAAAATTAAGATGTCACATGAATATTTCAAGACAATTAAACAAACTTGATGGATTTGGTTTCTCAAAACTAGAAACAAAACAGGCAACAAAAAATGTAGCGGCTAATAAGTTAGGTAAGAAGGATTAGCCAAATGTGCAGCCTTACACCATAGCAATTATCACAGTATAGTTACAAAACTGACATTAGCGGACCAGTGAAACAGGTAAGAGACGAACAGACAAATGAATTGCTGTGCCCAGTTTAACTCTAATGTATCACACATCGAAACAAAATACAAAGCAAAGGTCCCGCTATCAGCGAATACCTGACATACAGGGGATGTTTGGCTGTGATAAGCTGAAATCAATTTGGCTGCATGGGGCATTCTCCCAACTCTTTTCCCTTCACATGTTGTGTATGGGCTTGAGTGGCGCATTCTTCACATACCGTGCTCAATCACAGGGCTCATCCTCAAACTCTTTAACCACACATGTAGCAAATCTGGACTCACTGTATTTTGTGATGATGCGCTGTGATGTAATCATCTGGCTTAATCCCCCCCAAAGCTCTCTCTCTTTCCAAAGAAATCTTTAAAACGTAAAATAAAAATATGTCTAAAAAATAAGAAGCTTTACTGAGTGACTTGGGTGAAAAAGCTTGAACTGGACTCCTCACTTCCCATGGAAACACTCTCTCCTCACCCTGACCAGACTTCTGATGGAGTACTTGCATTTCTTAAGTGGGACAGAGCCCGTTTAGGAAATCCACCTGGTGTTTTAACAATCAGCCCAGTGTTACATAACCGAGGCACTATACACTTAGCTAAGCAGACTGTGCATTGTATTTTATCTAAGAGCACAAGCATCCCTGAAAGCTTCCTCTAGAAATTCCTGACTGACAGAAAAAAGTGGGTTTGAACATCTAAGTCAAGTGGGAATGGTGGGAACCGACACTTATGACACCAATGACTAACATATTCAAAACTGTTTAAGGGAGTCTCGTGATTGTTTCACAAATTTAGCACATTTATTCAACCAATACGTCTGGTCTTGAGAAGATCATAGATTCAGGTAAAACTGAAGTTATTTCGCTAAGACTGAGGTTTGTTTTTTTTGTTTTTGTTTTGTTTTTTTTGGGGGGGTGGGGGGTTAAAAAAGAAATCCAGCTGAATTCTAGTAACTTAATGTCACCTTAAAGCAGACTGATTTACAACACTGTGTGCAATGCATTAAAATACTACTGATACTAAACAGTTTGTTAAGGTAAGACAATTGCACGACAGAATCACCCATCTGCTCCCATAACAAGATCATATACTGCCGCTGGAAACACTCCCTATCTCTAAAACTCACCTTGTCACAACCAGCGTTCACCAACTCCTGCAGCATCTGCCGGTTCACCTCCCCGGCCCCTGCTGGGTGTCCTGATCCGGAGGTTGAGCCGGATTCAAAGGGCTTGAGGGACTTGCGGATTTCCCGCAGCGCATTCTGGTAGTTGTTGAACTTCTGCGGGGGTCTGAGCTGCTGCTGTCGGCTGGTTGTGTCTTTCCCGCTCTTGGAGTCTGCCCCTTTGCCTCCCTCATTCCTGGAGCTACTGCCATGTAAAGCCTGGCTCACCAGCTTGGCCGGCTGCTTCAGGCCCTCCTTGATCTCTTGAAGCCTTTGCCGTGTGTTTCCCACATACGGGGCTGCGGGGAAAGTCTTGGGCCTCATGGCCACAGTGCCCAGGGCAGGCACCTACTCTAAAAAGGGAAACACGCACACAGAAGCACACACAAGAACACACTCACACACACACACAAACTGGCACTCACTGCCCTACAACCCTACGAAAGATTCCCTTTAAGCTTGCTGACCTAAATAGATAAAAAGCCTCCAAGAGCACAGATTGGAGGCACAGGTTTTACGATCCCTACTCTATGTCCCTAATTTTTTTCTATCTTGCTTTCTGCTTTTGATTCCTGCTCCCGCTGTGGTGGATGAAGGTGAGGCAGGAATACTATAGGCATTACATGGTGTGATTTTCAAGGCTCAGGTTCCAGCTTATTCCAGGAAATGCAGCTGGTCACAAGGGCATCGTGGAGCCAAACGATGATGATGCCAATCTGCGCCTGTGGGTGAAGAAATGAAGTTAGAGCATGAAGACTGGGCTTCCACATCCCATTCAATTTTATCTAGATTTTCTAAAAATCAAAGCACATACAGTAAAAAACTGTTAACAACTTTAGAAATGTGAGATCACAAGATACCACACAAAAGTAAGCTGTTCTGCACCAATATAAAGTGAAGTAATCCTTGTGGAGCCAGTTAGACCTTTTGGAGGTCAAATTGACTATCAGCACTGCATATGTACTCTCACATACTTTTATGCATAATCCAGGAATGCTAGAGGTTAAAAAAACACCACCTGCCCCCCACCCCATCAATGCATAGCTATGATAGCTCAATTCAGCTCCTGTCAACGTTGATACTTGGTCATCGGTAAACACCCATCTGAGAACATGGGGTCAACACAAATGTCCGACCCTCCCTGCATCAGCGCCTCTGCCTTTTATGCTCCTCTGTGATCTTACATATGACACTGTCTGACAATCTTATCTAGAAGACCATGCTCCGCAAGAAGGTTACTCCGCCAGTGCAGATGGGCTTTCTGTCCAGAGCCTCAACTTTACAAGCTTCTCACATAGGGCTGTGCGATATGACCAAAATCTCATATGCCGATATAAGAATTCTATCGTCCGATAACGATATAAATCACAAAAATGTAACATTTTCTGTAAATTCTGTGAATCTCGGGCAGCTCGACTTGCGGGAAGTGTTTCCAGCTGCGCGTCGTGTAGCTGGAGTCGAGTGTTTTAACCAGTGACCATCAGAACGGTGAAAAAATATTGCCGTAAACAGTTTATTTTGCCACACGACGAAACAAACGATAGCGTAAAATGAAACGATAGACGTTTTATATCGTCATCCGATATATATCAATATATCGAACAGCCCTATTCTCATCTAATCACAAATACTGTACAATAGCACAGTAGACCTGACTTGAATCATATTAAAGAGGTCAAGACCATTTGGCAATACTAGATTTGATTAATATCATACTTATGTCTCACATTAGTCAATTTATGAACCATATCAGTTGAGTTAAGAGCTTATATATCAAATCAAACCGTTAACCGTTAACCGTTTCCTGTCTAACTGAGAAGCTCACAGGCTTCAAATAGTTTTAGAGAAGCAATACCAGGTCTCCAGATACCAATCTCACCAGCACTGAAAAACTGCTAGATACAATCCTCTTCTGGCAGGTTTCGACATGGCTGTGGTTTTCAACTCATGTCTGCAATTCCAACCATTTTGTGAAGCAAACATCTTTCAATTGATTGGATTCTATTTCAAAAAGTCTTCTTGGCAGGTATTGAATTACACCTGACAATTATCCTGAAAAGGAAAAATTACTTATGGGCAATTTTCCTCTTTGCCTAAATAAAATAGTTATTTTGTCAATGAGAACATTTTCTGTACTTGATCTACACAGACCTGAAGAGAAGCTGCAAACAACCTTCCTGTCTATATGCATAAACAAGGAATGAGTTATGTTCACCACATGCTTACGTATTAACAAATACCTAAGGGCTTTCATTAAATAACGTACAGCATGATGGATTGAGAGGGGAAAAAAGCGACTTTCTGCAGCAGTCTGACCAAGACCAGTGATTATTTCTCCTCCCACAGACCAAGGAGATCAGCAGGTCATCGTACTATTCCAGTCAACAGACACGGACACAGAGCCGAACGTGTCACTGTTGGTGAGTTATTATGAGCTCGTAACAACATTACATCACGAGAAGACCTGCTGTTTGTGTGCTTTCTAAATGTGAATCATTATGCTAGCCGCACAACTACTTCAAATTCAAATTTAACAAAAAAAAAAAGGGCGACAAAATTGCTTTTTATTCTAACGGACAAATCAGAGACGTCACAATTCTACCCTCAAATTTAAGCTCAGATTAAATGATGTCAAATGGTAAATGGCCTGTATTTGTATAGCTCTTTTACTAGCCCCCCTAGGGACCCCAAAGCGCTTTACACACCCAGTCATCCACCCATTCACACACACATTCAAACACTGGTGGAGGCAGCTACAGTTGTAGCCACAGCTGCCCTCAATATTAAACAATGATACATTTCAAGAGTTTTTCAATATGGTTCCATGTCAATATGGGTTTTATGGTTTTTATCTAGTAAGGTGAAAAGTTATCAAAATGAGTTATTACTATTATTATTATATACATGTGTTTATTTAAAACCAGCCACAGAATGTGAAACAATCCACAATTACCAGGCAGCCACCTATTTTTTTTTATTTTGTAGATTCAAGAAGGTTACGTCCTATTTTTACTCATGACTGAGTCGTGTGTTTGTTCTCAATTAGCAGAGAGCAGATAGCGAAGTATGTGCAGTATTGGATTTTTGGAGTTTTCTGGTTGAGCTGATTTACTACAAGTTTCCCCGGCTGATGTTATCTCAGGATCGCGGTAGTATTCCCAGAGCATTTCATTCCCACCCCCCACCCCCAAATGTTCCAATTTTTATATAACTAACATTTATGTATAAAACTTGAGGGAGTATTTCGATGGCATACATCTTTTTTAACAACCTAAAATGTTTTATTGAATGTCTTAAAGTAGCCAGTTGAGCATCGGGTGGATTCTAATTTTTTCCCCCTCAAACACCATTAACATTTGTCTCTGAGATATCATGACCACAACTTCTTTTTGTACTTACTATAGCTGCCAACAGAGATCTTTTAAAGCAGCAAATGACTTCAATTTAAAGAAAGTGTTTGCAGATACCAAATTAAACATCCAGATGTTTCCATCAGTTTCAAACGTGCCACAGCTTTGATTCACTGATAAAGTAATATAGTCTGAAAACTTTGAAGCGATGGTGATGCATCCTACTGAATTCTTACACTATCCCAGAGACTCCCGTGTGTCTGTGTGGAGGTACAAAAGAATACCTTCAAAAGAAAACACACCAAAACTAAAATTTACAAGTCAAGCTTTGGTCTTAGGCAATGCCAAACAGAATCCACCCAGTGCTGTGATATTCTATATTTAGATAATTAAAAATACATTCTTAACAATATTATCTTAATCTTACATCCCTCAGCATTACTACCAAGCAGCTGCAGAGGAAAAAGCTTCCAAACATTAAAAGCTGTTGAACTGCATCCCCAATCTCCTCCTCCTCCTGCTCCTCCTCTCTAGCAGTCTCCATCCCTTTGGGCCATTTAAGGAGGACACAGCCTTCACTGTTTGTACAGATCAAACTTTGCATAGACAAAAACATGCTTTTTCTTTTTACACTGCTGGGTGGTGGGGTAACATGGGGCCAAGCTCCATAAATGTTGCCCCATCTCCGAGATCTCTTGCCTCCATTCCTGCGATGCTTCAGGCGTCGTGTCCAAGCAATGAGCATTCCTTTCCACAAGTAAGTACAAGTAAAATACCGCAGCTCAATCACGGGGCAGTACGCTGACCAAAATAACCCAAAACACAAACTACACGGACAGTATCTGTCTATAACTACAAATCTGTAAGAAGAAAAAAAAGACATGACTCTGCCCAAAACAATGCTCTACACATAACCACCCCCATCACTGAACCTTACTCCTTCTTTGACCTAACCCTAAACCTAAGATGACTTAAACTTCATGCTTTTGGACTTTTTGACTTTTAATGGCACATGTGACACTTTAAACGCATGTTTCAGGTTATGTCTTCGTGGACATGTGTTGTTCATAACAAACTTTAGCACACTATACCACAGCTTTCTTTTTGGTCTCACCAAAAACAAAGCTGCCCACTGTGATGCTAAATTGGGAAAGCATGCATTCTGCAATCTTGGACCCCACAGAATACTGAGCAACGCGAGCAGCTGGCAGGTTAATATTAATAAGATTGTCTCTAACCTGCCTGATGGATCTGAGAGAATGTGGACGGTCATATCTCTGCTGTGTTTGGGAAATTACGAAGCAAGAGGAGGCGGAGGTGGAGGAAAGAACACAACTTCCTAATGGGCAAAGCTGGCCAACAACTAAGCTTTGGGTGGAGTAAGACAGGGGGTAGAGGTGGGTGGGACCAACTCAGTTAACGTTGCAGGACACATCACAAATGTGCAGGCAGGGACAACAGTTGATGGAAACTGGCTGCAGCTGTGAGAGTGCAAGTGTGTGTATATAAGAGGGAAACAATTTGGCTCTTTCTGTGTGTATCTGATGTACTGCAGCTCAACCCCAAAATCAAACCGATATGTTTTCCCTGTAGCCTTTCGAGTCATCTACCCATCTATATTGTTTTTGTGTGCATGTAGCCCACTTTTGTACATTTGTCCCTTTAAAACAATATGGTAGTAGTAATAACATGTAATAATCCCTGCATACTTCTTACAATCCACTGTGTTGACAACATCACCACCAAAGCATCTGTTTGTATCCCAGTGGTTCCATTTTGACAGATACCTCTGACGTGCATGACACCACACTGCTGCGCCACCCTAGTCTGAGTGAAACTGGTCCGACTGTTTGAAAATGTGACCCCCCTGCTACAGGACACAGACAGGCAGGAACATCAAGCGTCCATTTAAAACATGTGACTTTGGTTTGCATCACCCAGGTCTGCTGTCACTGCTGAACTAATCAAAGCGCTGGACTGTCTGGACAGACAGAAGTGTGTCAAGCAGAAAGAAAGAGTGTGTGTGAGTGTGTTTTGTGGATAGTAGTGTGGTACCAGTACACCTGAATGAAACGCACTGTTGCATCAGGGCCAAACTATGCAGGCCCTGAGAGAAGTGAAAATGACAGAATCAAATCAGATGACTCCATTTTCATTTTCAGATACAATATAAAAAAATATTCTGACCTGTTATGAATTATTTTATTAAGCTCAGTTCTTATTAACTATGAATCTGTTCGCTCACTTTAAACAGTGAAATGAATGCAGGATCTTCTGACTAACAGCATCTACAAAGCATAGCTTCTGTTACTGTTAGTGATCCTCAGAAGAGGCAGAAGTTAGGATGCCCAAATAAGATGCAGTTACTTTAAATGTACACAAATAAACAAACATTTAAACATAGACTAAACCCTTAAATTGAATTCCCACATTTGCACCAAAGCTTTAAAACTAGTGTACAGTGATATTTGTATAGGCATAAAGGTCCGGAGAGCCCTGTTTTAAAGCGCTGGGGCCTTCTCAGCAATATCCCAGGCTTGAGTTGGGGGCTGAGAGCAGCAACACATTCCAATGCAGGGAGAGAGAAAAAATGGAGGCAGTCCTGTAAGCTCCAAAGAGGCTCAAACATACAGAAACTTCAATTTCGTTTTCCATAAGCCTCGCTATATAACACACCCATAACGGAACGTTTTGCTCAGCAACAAGTCGTGGAAACAAGTCACACCACCACCACTCCCCTCCCAAAAAAAGCAACTCTCAACTTACCATGTGATAGAAGTGGCGAGAATAACTCAATATGAAGAGAATAAATTCCGTTAAACGGCAACTTTTTTTTTCGTTAAAGAGTCCGGTTCTCGGTTGTTGAACGCGTACACCTAGCTCAGTGGGTAAATATGATGAAATGAACCTCCATTTTCTCCCCAAACTCCAGGCAGGATCAGAACTTCAGCACAAAGTTGGACACTCGCTGCATTGTTAACATTCCTCAGGTCACGTGACGGACCAACGCACGTCAGCGGACCTGAAGATCGTCTATTAGGCAACTGCCGTTCACTCCGTTCACGTTGTTAGCTAGGCGCTATTACCGTTTGCGAACAAATTAAAATTAAAAATGTTTTTGTGTATTCGGCGTCGTACAAATCTTTTTTTGTTGAAGTGCATTAGTAAGTTTTACTTTTGATTTTAATAACGAGTTAAGTATAGAAACAAAACTGCGGGGTTCTAGTTTACGCTGTCAGTGCAATAGCGAGTAGTAACGAGCTGTGGTTTTCACCGCGACAGTGACTGCAAAAAGCAACGGAGTGGGACGTCTTGATTTCCTTCCTCTGAAATATTCACAGGCGGAGCTTCCTCCAAGCATTTTTCCCTTTGATAAATAAAGTATATCTGCACATTACATTACTCAGTCACCCCTCTCCGGCCTTGGAAATAGTTTTAACCAATGACTCAGTGTGAAAGCAAATAAAACGTTATAATAATGTCAGTTATCACAGGACAACACGTACAGCACAGAGCTTCAATATTTTACACGTACACACAGAATAACATAACGGCGACTCTTGGGTACTGAGTAAGCTGATGCAATTCCACAACTTTATTTTTTCAGTCACAGGAGCTATATTAAAAGAGAAACTAAACAGGAAACCTTCAGGAGTTTACACATCATGGAAGCACATGCGTCCGTAACAATAATGTCAAACAGCAATGTAGTGTGAGAACATGAGTTTATAAACTTCTTTCATACATGTCAACCTAGAAGCTCTTTTATTTTAGAGCAGGAAAAACATCAGATAGGAAGTATTGACTTTGTTCTTATGCATGTAAGAACTAAATACAGACAGAATAAACCAACAGTCATTTCACAAAGCCTTTTAACTACTATTAATACTGGTATTTGGCCTTGCTTGATAACAGTCCTCCAGCGGCACTCACTACCTTAGGAACGGGCAAACACCATTTAAACCAGCCTGTAAGACTATTTTAATCAGTCAAAAAAGGGGGCTTTTCGCTCCCTCCATAAAAGAGCAAGCAAGGTCTGCAGATACAGTCTACTCAGTCAAAGACTTGATTTAAAAAAAAAAAAAAAAAAAAATGAAGCATGTGTTCATCCAAAGTACATGCACTGCTGAAGAAATATATCAACCCATAGTACTGCTAATTAACTTGATTTTTATAGTTTGTTTAGAGCATCAGCAGTGCCAAACACCATGGCTAATTGAAGGGGAGAAAAGCAGGCAAGTGGACTAAATACTGTGGCTAGATGTCCTTATGGAAGCCCCAGAGCAATACAGTGTCAACCAAAACATGACCAGTCAGAAAAGACAGACAAGCATCTGTTGTCTGAGATATCCAGGGGTCTGAGAACAGAAGGCACACTCTGAACCTAACACTGATTATGAAGCATCACCTGTTAAAGCCCAGCACCTGAACTTAAGTGTAGTCTTTGTTATTGGAGCATTCCCAATTCATTTTTGGGCCCTGAGCCAATTGTATTGTAGCCCCTCAAACCTTAGGAGAAAACATAAGTATAAGTGTAGTGACTTTAGATTAGTTTTGGCAGAAGGTTGAGCACACAAGAATGATGTACCTTAAAAACAAACAAACAAACAAACAACAAAACAATGGGAACACACATTTAGACCTTGTTGACTACAGATGCTGACTCTACATGCACATCTGGCTTAGGGACCAAACCAGGAAAAAGTCCAAAGAATAGTGCATGATGTCAAAATAAATATCTGTAGAAAATATGGGCTGATCTGGAACAGCTTTACAAACTAAGGCACCAGCAAAGCAGCACTACTAAAATATGTAATTCAATAATCAGAGGGGTTATCTTCAAATTAAAAAAAAAATGCAGATATACTGTATATCAGTATAAACTTTTCAGTTGGTGTGTCTACATTACTGAAAGGTCAAACCCTTTAAAAAGATCAAAATTTCAGTTGCTGGGTAACCTTTCTGGAAATAACCCGCAGCCTTGTATCATAACTACTGCTGTGGCTCGTGCTCATGGACCAAAGGCCTGTCACAGTCTCCCACAGGAGAGGACAAACCAGTGAGAATGAATTCACATGTTAAATGTAGCTGATGTACTCATCTAACAATGTGTTTCTTCAGGCTCAACAGCATGTCAGCAATACTGTTTACTTCTGCACCAACACAAAAGATGATTCTTTTGAGATTTTTGTATTAAATAAGGAGCTTTAACTACTTTGGGAAAATTAATAATTACCTAAACACGTGGCTCAGTAAAAAAGGACATCATTGTTAATCACTGTATACAGCTCAAGCTAAAGTCAAATTTTCTGTTCATCAACATCATCATTACTATTATTGTTTAAACCTGCAAAACCAGCAAATCACTGCTGATGAAGACATTGAAGACATCTGCCATTCCAAGATGTGCTCGAATTACCAACTTGTAGCTAATCATCACAGCTGACTGTACTCTTGCTATAAAAAGTACCTGGCTTACAAAAATGTGACTATGCCAAAAACGATGAGTTTACAACCAGTACTCCTTCACAAACCACAGGACATTTCTGTCCCTGCACTGTGAACAGAGAGGAGACACTGTGGCCGAGGAGTACTACGGTGTACTACTTTGTCTGGCATTTCTGTTATTTTAACCTCTTTCTATGCATATTCCTATGTGCACAGTTCCTGATTTAGATGCAGGGAAGCAACAAAAAAATAAATAAAAATTAAAAAAGGTTTAAGCAACATGCCACTTCTCTGCAGCATATGGATGTAATCTGGTAACTACAGTCAGGGATGGGAAAGACACACTTAACAGTCAGAGATGTGGGATCAGTGGAAATGCATCACCCAAACTGCAGTGTGCATACTTCAGCATTTACAAGTAGCTAATAAAGACATATTTCATAAGGGTTTTACTCAGTTTTCACCCAAAGCCTAAACAAAATAAATTCTTGCAAGTCAGCCATTCTTTGTGAGGGGAGGTGCATAACTTAATGACATCACATCTCAGAAATGTGGTTTCTGTATTTGGAGAAATGGTCCTATTGCTAAGTATAAACTGACCCAGATCACAAGGAGTGACATAGATTGAAAGTTAGTATAGTGGAAAAGTATAAATCTATTTGCTGTAGTCATGATGTAGTGTCGACACATAGACACAGAGGGACAGCAAGAAGTGCAGTCCAAAGCAGTAAAGGGAACTGAAGAGCCTGATCAGCATTAAAGGAGCACGAGGCGTTTGTCTACACATCACTCGAGTGGAGCAGCAGAGATGCACAGGTTGTTTAAGGCACAGGCAACTTGCACAATCTTATCAAAGGTTGAGAGGTTCGACGTGCGCTCAGAGGCTGCGGTGAAGGCGCTCTCGACAGGGCCCGTGAGCATGGTGTACCGTTGCTTTACCATAGAGATCACCCTCTCCACATGCCTCTGCACGCTCACTGTCTCAGAGGAAGGATCAGCCAGCAATGAGCCCTCTGTTCTCCCATATGCTTCTCCCTGGTAGCTGTCAGCAATTTTAAACAAGGCTCCACGTGCTGCCACGGAGTCTCCGATGTCCAGGTCACGGCTTGCCAGTACGACATCGCCCGGGAGAAGCTTGCACAAGAATCCACAGCCCTCAGCCAGGCTCTTGTCACTGACGTTTCCCAGCACACCCCTAGAGACAAAAGTGACCACGCCTTGCGGAGCCACGCCAATCAGATACTTAAACACGTTATAACTTGGCCCCGCCCCCTGAGAGACCGGGTCCTCGAAAGGCACGGTGAAACAGTCTATGATGACGGCGCAGTCAGGGTGAGAGGCTCGCAGTGCAGCTGGCAGGTTTTTACGGAGCTCAGCTCTGGAGGGCCAAAAGACAGCCGTTGGCACCAGAGTAGAGGACATGATGCTGACCATCCGGTGAACTGTTCTGGTTACTGTGCCGACTTTCACACCAAAGCGATAAGCCAAGTCCTGATTGCGGAGGTCCAGGCGGAGACGCATTAGTGTCAGCAGCAGCTGCTGGAACTTGGAGAGCTTGACGTTTTTCATTCCATCCATGTGAGGTGCCAGCAGCCACATGACTGTCTCTAAGACAAAGTAGTTGGGTAAACCAGTGTAAAACTTCACTTTCTCAGCATCATTCCTTAAGGAGTTCTCTGAGAGAGACATTTTCTCCACAGACTCCTTGAGGGCCTGATTCTCCCTCTTCAGGGCTTTCAAGATGTCATCAAAGTTCACCGGGACATCAGATGTCTGGGCAAACTTTCCTTTCTTGCTGTCACTCACAGACTGATCATCATTATCATCATCATCATCATCTTCGTCGTCATCGTCATCATCATCATCATCAGTGCTGAGGGAGGAGGAGGCACTCTCCTCCGCAGTGGTCTCCTGTTCCTTCACCTCAGGATGCTTTTCCTGGCCCTGTTCATCCACCGCAGACATGCCCTGGCCCTGGAGGAACAGCAAGGCATTGGCTGCCTCCACCCGTGCTTCCTGTTTGTCCACGATCTCTAAGGCACCCGGCTCCTTCATCTCTGGGCATAAGGGAGCCGCCGTGAACACAGAAGGAACATAATCCGGAGAGCGCGGATTCTTCACCTGTTTACCTGCATGTGAAAAAAAGAATCTGATTCAAATTCATCTGTTTATGATACTTATGATTTAGAGTGCTCTCTCATTTTGTAGCGTGCAATACATAAAATAACAAACAGTTGCTGTTGTTCAGTCAGTACATCCCTAATTAATTTTCCCTCTACAAACAAAATTTAAGCATGAAAATCTTTGCACACAAAAAGATTGCACACACCAGACAATAAAAACAAAACAAACCTAGGATTAAAATACCACGTACCATTAGCGGCATCTACTTTCATATATTTAGTAAACAAAATTTATAACCCATCCCAGCTGAATTAATTGCAGTAATGCTACATTTTATTTCCATCTCAACTTAGTTTCGTAGAGCTATTTTTTAGATATTCAAAGGCTTACAGCTACAAACACCGCCTTTTTCCAGTCATTTTAATCAG